ATTAAGAGCGGCTGCTATTTTATTTTTTGTGGCACTGTCCATTTCATGTGACTTCGAATCAGAAGAATTTATTAAATTAGACTTCGTTTCGGAAGAACTGATTTAATTAGGCCGGAAGAATTTTAACGGAAGGTTTTAATTAATTAACGCGTTCGGTACCACACCTGAGGCTGTAGTATATCTTCTTCGCGAAATAGATTAAACCGATTGCTTCTGCGTGTCGATGCCAATTGAATTTTATTAACAACCGTTCGTTTGTATGTACATGCAAGCGCCACAAACGTTCACCATGGTTAGGCTATTTACAATAGTTAAACGAGTTCACAATAGGCAACCGTAAATTTATAACCTACTATAATATAGATATTTATAAGTTTGAATTGGTAACTCTTATAAGGGAAACACAACCCGGAATTTCTTCGCACACAAACATATTGCGCAATATCGGGCTTGCGTCGGTCGTCTGCGTGGTGTAAGGGGTTCTTTGTACTAAATTGCACAGTTATTGCGCTAAATTCAAAATTATTTTGATATTTTGCTCATGGTTATGTTATTGTACAATAATTTGTGCTGCGTATGGCGACAACTGCGAAATTTTGAGTCAAGTTTTGATTTTGATTAGATTAAATTTTTTAATATTCTTTTTTGCGTTTTAAAACTGATGCTATTAAAATATTAATATTATTATTGTTAACTTCTCTGCTCTGTAGCTCGTTTCGGTAACAATTCTCTACCAAGGCGAATTGAGATATGAATTCGCCGCCCTATTCTCTACTGCTGATGAGTAGTAGTGAACAGCGTTGCCGTTTTGCTTAAATTTAAGAAAAATTTATTAATTTTTTCCTGTCTTGGAAAATGTAAAACTTTTCTTCGTTTTGCTAAATTTGTTTATTAAAATAGTCAAAAAAGGATAATTTTCCTCAAAAATTCATAGTCAGAAGAGTTACTATTTCAATAAATTTTTAAAATTTATTTTAGGAAGACTGTCATCCAGATCTGCAGTCGTCGCAGTTTCAAACCTCCGTGTGTACTTCTGCCATGAAATTGCTTTTTATAAAAACCATTTGCCGTTCGGAGGCGACATAGGTTCCTTCATTTGCGTGATAGATAAACACGCAAATTATGGATAGTATGATACCAAACTCGTTTTTCGCATGCATTCAAGGTGTATTTAACAAGGTGGTGTTAGCCGTATATAAGTAAAAAATTACACTAACAAATTATACGCAGATATCCATACTGTCATTGGTATAAGTTAAAACAAACACATCTTTTTGACGTAATGCTCTCCACGGCGAAAAACTCAGCTGTCGCCCCAACACCATCTTGTTAAATATACCTTGCATGCATTCCAAAAACTAGCGAAAGGGCAGTTAACAATTATAGAATTATGTGTTGAAAGACTGAAAGAATGTGTAATAGTTTTCAAATTAAGCAACTGTAATGCTACGCGCACACTGCAGCCGGCATCGGCCGAATTGTGCTCGGCCGATATCGGCTATATGCGGGCGATATGAATGGGCCTCCGCACACTGGACTGCCCAGTCCGCCTAAAACCGGTTTTGTGTGGATAAGAGGGGGAAGAGAGTTCGAGTTAACCTCGCTCATTTCAATCCGCGAAAATAGCGGATTGACGGTGGACTGACACGCACACATAGACAACATGTTTTCTATTTCGTTTTGTTTGCATGTGCCACATGCACTAACACAATCATGCGTAGTTCATGTATACAAAACTGAAACCTGTTTTCGGCCGACTGCCCAGTCCAGTGTGCGTTCGAGTGGTGGACTGCTCAGTCCGACTGAGCAGGCTAGTGTGCTCAGGCCCCTTGTGAATATACGAGCGCTCTCAAACATAAACCGATAACCGAACCGACATCGGCCGTTGACGTCCGTCGGTGACGATAAATTCAAACATGTTTCCTTTTTTCGTCCGATGTCAGGTGAAAAATACCAAAATGGACTGCGAAAAATTAACTTATTGGGTGCAAAAACAAAAAAATTACATATAAAATCACATGTTTAGAGAATGTCAATTTAAATGTATCAAATGATTTCACTGCTTACAAAATTGTAATGAAAACTAGATTTGTGTGTACAAATACGGTCGGCAAATAATCTGGTTAAGTGTGTGCATCAGTTCGGACGGTCAAATTGTTCGGCCGAAATCGGTCGGCCTATCGGATGCAATGTGCTCCTAGCGTTAGACTATAAAATCCTTACTTTTGACGACAAAACTCAGTCTTAGATAGCCTTTACTTACTTACTTTCTTACTTTTTATTTCTATAACCAATTTAGCAGCTCAGGAAGAAACAAACAGTAACTCAAAGCATTTTTCGTTTTATTAAGACCCGTTAAATAAGTTGCATAATTTTAACAGGGTTTGTTAAACTTTTGGAAGGATTTTGTTAAATTTTATGTTTCGGGCGCGGCAACGCTGGTAGAGAATGACATATATTCTCTACCAGTAGAGAAATAATCGGTAGAGAAGAGTTACAGAAACGAGCTACAGGTCCGGGTTGTAATATTACGTCCGCCGAAGATAAATAAATTTGTACGTGGTGCGTCTTCTGTATACTGTTTATTCTGTGGTAGTACAAACGAAAACATATCTAATTAGAGCTAGCAACTCTGCTCCTTTATATCAATGCGAATTGTACTGATTGTCAAAAATGATGTGTTTGTTGTACATTTGTTCATGCTTATCATTGTGCATATAATTTGTTAGAGCAGTTTTTGTGCTCCCGCTATCACCTTGTATGCGTTGATACACTCTGACGAACATATGTATGTGAGGATGATAGTAAGGCATATAAGGTAGGGTTACAGGATCAGTTGAAATTTTCTCCCCGGTGCCCCGGGGTTTTTTAAATAGAGCCATAAACGTAGCGACCGTTGGTTCAACTTGGTGATGTTTTGCTCCAGATTGCAACGTTTGTGGGCAAAACGTCCAACTTGATTGCGGATCGATCTGAACCAACGGTCGCAACGTTTAAGGCTTGCATTATGTCTATATTATGTGTTTGTTGTAATTCATTTACTACCATTATGCGTAGGCCAATTAATGAAATCATTTCATGCGTTTGATTAGAAACTTAGTCCATGGACACCATTTCATGATTTCAATTATACGCGAAATGGAGTTTATGCACTGAGTTTGCACTCAAATTCATGAAATGATTTCGTGAATTGGACTACACATAAACGTGATAATTGTGTATATAATTTATAAGGTAATTTTATGTTTTATTACTCTTGCTAGCACATGAATATATGAATTCGTGATACGAATGTATGAATTCGTCTTGGAAGCAGATACAATCGAAACAAATTGCATTAAAAACTAAATTAAGAGATAGTTCACTCCGTTCAGTTACTTCTATTATAAACCCGGTCCTAAGGATGCTAGCAGGGCGAATTCATATAAGGTGGTGTTCCCGGAAAATTAATAAACAAATTATATATCAGCAAAATGAAATGAAATTAATGTTTAATGTTTAACCAAACCTATGTATTACTACGTCTATGCGACAGAGTTCATGAATTCTTCATTTCATGAATTCAAAATTGGTCCCGTTTATGCATAGTCCGCGAATTTATGAAATAAGGAGCTTTGAAAAAGTGGCAACGCACTAGCGAGAAACTAAGCAGTGGGGTTGTGGCTTTTTTGGCCTCCTTTTGAGTTTTAAAAACCTGTTGGTACCAGGAAATGAATCATATTATATTTAAATTGGTTTTAAAATATTTATTTGAATTTATTATGGCTGCGTTCCTTTATACATTCCGGATAATCCCATTTCACAGCCGGAATAAACAGAATGCGTTTGAAATATACGTCAACAAATCATCAGGAACGTTCTAAAGAATAAATAAACAAAAAAGCTTATTCCAAACGTTCAGAATGAATAAAGAAATGCAGCCTATATATTTCAATAATTCCACGTAACTTTTCCAGTGTTGTAAATACTGTTTATGCCACTCATGCTTTTTAATCTAAAAACATCATAACCCTAGTAAACAGCTGTTTCTGAAACGTGGCGTTGCTAGACTTGCACTTCACGATTTCAAAAAATGATGCCGAATTCATGGTTAACTTTCGTTTCATGAAATGGTGTTTATGCAGCCAATTTTAGCCCAAATTCATGAAAGGAATTTGTGAATTAGCCTACGCATAAACGCAGTATATGTAACTCAAACGCCTAATTCATACCTGGTACTCACACCTTTTTTAAGAAACTTTCACTTCTATCACATGTACGGTGCTACACGCGCCTTATTTTTTTATTTACTGATTTTTAAATATTTCTCCTTCGTTATGTAGATGTAGGAGGGCAGCTGTCCTTGAAAATTGACTAGAACGGTTAATGACAGAACGATGAAAATTAGTGACCAATCCTGATCAATCGATGGCATATATGTATGTAGTTTTTTCCGAAATGTTTGGATGGGTTGCTAACTAGACGGAGCCACGTTCGTCGCGAATTTATGACCCAAATGTATATATAATAAAATAACTATATTTCAAGATAAATATTCAGCACTATGAATTACAAGTGATTTGAGCCCTTATATTTAATTTGGAGGTTTTTATATTATTTTTTTGATACATATTATTTATTAGGGTCCGAAATGATATTATTTATTCTGTTCTGTGTTTGTTTGCTTCTTTGATAATATCTCTCACATTTTCTGTTGGAAAAAAATATTACAGAAATAAATTATAACTGAGGCCGTGAGAGCAAAGTGGCATAAAAATAATTTCAAATTTGATGCATTTTAAAATAACATTCGCTTATTCTTAACTTTAAGGTAATAAGCTATGTACATAGTTTATACTTCATTTGAATGGTGAAATCTCTGAAATAATGCTTTTAGAACCGAAATCTGTATGAAAATTTTACCGTCAATTCGACTAAGCATAGTTTTCCAAGTTGTATGGTAATACTTGCAAACTTGTGCAATTCGTTAACTAAATAACAACATTTAATTATTTACTTACCTTTGTTCAGGGCTTTTGATATTGGAGTAAATGATAGTACTGTTATCGTCGTCAGCACTTCGTAGCTGAGATTTACTTATAGCACCCGTGCGCTCCTGACCGGAACTACTCGTACCGGAGGGACTTACTATATCCATATCACTATTTCCATCGGCCGCTCGATGATCTTTGGCGAATGACATCGTGGCTTCGTTGGGATCCGCCTGCGGATATAATGTATAAAAAGGCGGGTTGCATGAATAACTGCGTAAAGAAATAAAAATGGAACCTTTCATCTTTACCATCTGCAAGACAGCAGAAGAAGAGACTGCCGCACCTGTGCTGCCGTAATTGAGTTGCGAATGGTAACCGCTCGAAAGAATTTTTTTGTGTGCTGATGCGTGTGCGCGATACGCACTCACACTTAGTTTCATTGTGACATGAATGCAAGTACAACATAACAGTTATCAATTTACTTATTAATCGTCAACTTTGAAAGATAAAATTATATAATGCAATAGAACCTTTCTAAAGGGTTGCTAAAAATTTTCAGTTACATATTCTCCCGACAGCAAGTAAGAATTGGATTTTGGACATAAAGGCTCCTTTACAATTAATGAACCATTCCTGAAATTGAGGGAAAACAATATGTTAATTAAGTTTGATACACTTACATATTTGTCAAAATCATGGAGGTGGAGAATTTCAGTTGGAAATAGTGTTTTGTGTTAAAACCCCCTGTAATATGGGTTTAGAAAAAGGGTTCCTTAGAAAAAAGTGTTAAAACACGAAAATTTTGAAATACGTGCAATTTTTCGCTTTATTTGTGAAACATGTTTTCTGTTAAAAACTTATTATTATTATTTATTAATTTTTTCTTTTTATAACCGAGCACACTTTTGCACAAGGGTAATATAACTTTGTTCACATAACTGTTGTTTGTAATAGCCAAAACGAGTCGAGATAGATATAAATAGACAAATGTGTACATAAATGATCAGGATAAAAACAAGTAAAAAAGTCTAAGTTCGGGAGGAACCGAACATTAAATACCAGGCGCAAATACTAAATATACACGCATGTTCTGCAAATCATACGATTTCAAATCGGTGCGATTTGCAAAGTATTGTTGCATATTTGGAATCAAAGTATTAAATGTTGCAAATGGCAACTGTTTGAAACACATCATTTACGTTATATCCACCGATTTAGTGCCAAATTTTTCCCTCTTTGTTATAAATCCTCCGAAATATACTTTGTAAATGTCACCGATTTGAAATCGTACTATTTGCAAAACATGCCTGATAGCTTTTTCACCTTTCCGAAAACTACCGCTACATGGTAAGCAGGGGGTGTTTTGCCCCTATTTCAAACATCTTGGATAGAACGTTCAGTTAGGCATAATCAGATAAACCGATATAGTTATATGTACCGGTGCCACGCCCATTTTTGAAAATTTTGTTGTTGTTGACAGACCGCTTAATCGAGTTCTTTTTTTCATCCTGAGCATTTATGTATACATTTGTATATGCTGCTACAAACAACCGTTATGTGAACAAAGTTATAATACCCTTGTGCACAAGTGCGCTCGGGTATAAATAGAATCGATTAAGCGGTGACTACCTGTCCGTCCGTCCGTCTGTGCATACGATAACTCGAGTAAAAATTGAGATATCGAGTCGTATGCGCAAAAAAGACGTATGAGCCATGATTTTCGATTTCGGTTTTTTTATAAAAATGGATAATTTATCATCACACGCACCATCCCTCAAAGTTTCAGCGCCATAAAAAGCACCGTTACGAATTTAGAGCAAAAGCAATTTTGCCGTAAGTGCCATTTTTGTTTGTTTACATTTTTAGTGAGCAAGCAGTGGCTTATACGTCTTTTTTTTTTAAATTAATGTGAATAAGTGGTTAAATACTAATTTGCTTTGAATTTTATTGCGTTGTTTTTTTAAATATGGCGTCTTGGCGATCTGAGGTACTTAATCTTTTAATATTTCTACCCTTTTAATGAATATTTCAGATGAAACAAATAATTCTTTTTAGGCTACAAATAAAAAAGCTATCGTTCCCTACAGTGAAAGCGATACAGAATATTCTGAGGAATTCGTATCTGTAGTCACTCCGAATGATGTTGAAGAAGAGACATGCGTTGGAAAAAGAGGTTACAGAAAGCGTAGACCATTACCTAAAAGACTGCAGAATATTAAAAAGTGTAATAGAAGTGTTCTTACAAATCCATGTGCAAATAAAAAATGTCCCTATAAGTGTAGTGAAAATTTTGCCGAGTCAGATCGTTTAGCAATAAATGAACATTTTTGGGGCATAGGTAACAAAATAAGGCAAAAAGACTGGTTGCTTTCTTGCATGATGAGCAAAAATGTAAACAGGCGCAGGGGAGGCAGTGATAAAAAGCGAGTCAGCTATAGTTATGCAATTGATTTCAATAATATTAGGCACAATGTATGCCAAAAATTTCTGCTGAGTACTCTTCATATATCACAAAAAATGTTAATATGGGTAAGAAATAACAAAAGTTGTTTGAAAACCTGCACTGCTAAAGTAAAACAATTCAAGCCTTATAACAAAACTTGTGACGCTGACGACGCAATTGTTACCTCTTTTATTGAGCAGTTGCCAGCAGTTCCTTCGCATTATTGTCGCAATAAAAGCAACAAGCTGTACCTTCCACAAGAATTTCGCAACATAAAAGGAGTATATAAATGCTATACTAAACATCTTCAAAGTATATAACTATATAGAAGAGGCTAAAGTGTCCTTATATGTTTTTCGAAGCATTTTTAAAAATCGTTTCCATATTGGTTTTCATTTGCCTAAAAAAGACAAATGCGTAACTTGCGTAAACTATAATAACTTGAATAATGAAGCCCAACATAGCTTGAAGCAAACCGAATCATATCAAAATCACATAAGAGACAAAAATAAGTCTAAAGAAATTTTTTTAGAGGAACAGAAAAAAAGTACTCATACGTCAAGTCCGACATTCCTTTGTGCAAGCTTCGACCTGCAAAAAGTTTTGAATACACCTCACGGGAAAAGTGTAACCTTATTTTATTCACGAAAATATGCATATTACAACGAAAGCATATATGAGAATGGCACCCGGAATGGTTACTGCTTTTCGTGGGGAGAAGCTGATGGCAAAAGGGGTTGTAATGAAATTTCGACCATTATATTTCGCTATCTCCAACTTGTAGATGAAAGAAGCACGTACTCTTCAATTAGCCTGTACTGTGATAGTTGTGCGGGACAAAATCGCAATAGAGCTTTGCTAGCTATGATATTATATTTCCTTGAAAACTCAAATTTTATCAACAATATACGAGTAACATATTTATTACCTGGACATACTATGATGCCCGTTGATTCCATTCATAGTACTATCGAATCATTTGTCCGAGATAGGACCGTTTGGGCTCCAAATGAATGGTACACTATGATATCTAACGCTAGAACAAATCCGGTTAATTATGAATGTATTATCATGAATCATTGGGACTTCAAAGACTGGAAAACATACTCACAGGCACTGTTCCCCAATTCAAAAAAATTATCGTTTCCAACCTTGCGCTCAGCAACATTTGAGAAAAATAATCCTATTATTAAGCTTAACCATTGATACGGTGATCATTCCGAAATTAAAAATTTTAATATGGACTCCATCGCACGGTCAAGACGCAACACTCATATAATAACAAGTGGACCACTTCCTCTGTATAAGAATAAATTGGAAATTTCATCGACGAAGTACAAAGATTTAAAAAAACTTTGCGAAAATAACACAATACCTCGACATTTTCACAACGAGTATTTAAATATGCAACACGATGAGAACGTCAAGGATCGCCTTCCTGAGACAGATCAAGAGGAAGACTGATATTGATAGATTTAATTCCCTTGTTTTAAACATAATTTTACTTAATTTTACACTTTTTAAATTTTTTTTTTTATGAAAACCAATGAATTTAACTTAAAAGACTTAATTTTACATGAATTTAACTTAATTTTAGATATATATGTGAGTAAAAATAAATAATCTGAAGTATAAAATAAAAAAAAATAAACATATGTGAAAAAAAATTTTGATGTAACAGCCAAATCATCAGACAGTAGCTTGATTTTGTGCAGGCAAAAAAGACGTATGAGCCAAAACCTACCCTTATGCTACGAATATTAAAATTCTATTTATTGCATTATATACAAGAGAACTAAATAAAGTTACTTACCAAATTTCATGACAATATATAAGCTGGATGCAAAGATATTCAAAAAAAACCGTCTCCTGAACAATTTACTTTTTGGCTCATACGTCTTTTTTGCGCACACGACTCGATATCTTAACGGAACATGGTATGTTTACTACTTTTCAGCGTAGGACGGACGGTATTGAAAATGGGCAAAATCGGACAATAACCAGGCCTAACTCTCATATAACGGTAGTTTTCAGAAATACGCAAACTGCGATATTTTAGTAATTACTGAAACTCGTTCATTCAAAATTGATATTTACAAAGATTTTTAAACGAAAAATAAGAGTATTATAAATTCTTTGAAAATGGGCTTAGCCACGCCCACTTATGAATACATGTGTATAACTTGGTAACCGCTCCACCAATTTCTCCCAAACTTGGCACAAATGTTGCTCTTGGTAAAACATACCAAACGGCTGAAACATTTTAAAATGGGACTATAGGTAAGGATAGGTCACATCCAAAATGTATTCAACAAAGTGTGATTGATTTTGACATTGCTCTCATAAGAAACAGGCTATAACGTCAAATTGAAATTAATTGTTAACCCATTTTAAAATGTGTTTTTTTCAAATTTGAATTTAAAAAACAAAAAAAAATACACACAAAATTTTCAAGCAACAAATATTCTTAATAAACGTAAAATTGTTAAGAGATAAACCGCCGAGAAGAGCAAGTAAGTACATTTAAGTTTGGTAATAAGTAAATACGTTCGACTTTGCTTAAATATTTAATGTAAGGAAACCAAGATGAAACGGAGCAAAATGTTTGAACGGTGCGCTGTATGCGATAAAAGTCAGGACACGAAAATAGTGCGATGTTTTAAACCACCTAGTTGCGAATTAAGACGGCAGCGATGGGAAGAAAGCTGTGCTGTTGTACTACGTGATTCATCTCGCGTTTGTGAAAACCACTTCAAGGAAAGTGATGTCCAAATCAAACACTTTCCAACAAGCTCGTTTATACCCATGCGCAGTCCCAATGCCATACGAAATAACTGATACAAGTGAGGTTTTAGTACGCGATCAGGATACATTTTTGTTGATGCCCAAACTCAAACAGACGACTTTTTAGAATGCACGTTGCGAACAGAAATATTTCGGCTTACCGGAATAATTAAACCATGCAAGCAAGTATGGAAGAGCTTAAATTAAAACCGCTCGAAGCAAGGTCTTTAATGGAAAACTATTTCGTATGAAAAAAAATTAATTTCAAAATTGATAGAGTTAAGCTCACGTATAAAATTGGTAAAAAATGGAAAATCATACTTTTATAAGTGTCAAATAATGTTTAGGATAAAAAATTGAAATATAAAAATAAACGCACAAAAGCATAAAACTTGGGCAATTGAAA